ATTCTGGACATATTGTACCTCTACAAAATATGAAGCATATCTCTAAAAGTGATATTAAGTTAAAATTAAGGGTGGACACATGAAAATGTAAGTGGACAAGAATGTTATCTCAGTATGTGAGAGGTAGTGTGGACCAACAATAATAATAATATCAATACTGTGCTGATATGCTAATACAGTAGGCAATATTGACCAAACATTTGTGCCAGGGGGCACCTGGGTGGCTCAGTCGGTTGAGTGTCTGACTCCTGCTTTTGGCTCAGGTCATGCTCTCAAGGTTGTGGGATCGAGCCCCATGTCAGGCTCCTCGCTCAGTGTGGAGTCTGCTTCAGATTTCTTTCTCCCTCGCCCTTTGTCTCTCCTTGATTTCTCTCTCTCTCTCCCTCTCAAGTAAATAAAATCTTTTAAAAAAATTTTGTGCCAGGCCTATTATTGCTTCTGAGAACGCAGAGATAAGAAACAAAACAAGTGTCTTCTCTTGGAAGGCTCAGAGTCTAGTGGGGAGACTCAAGGACACGTGGATGAATAATTACAATTCTGAATTATCATTTAAAAGGGCAGAACTGGGAAAAATTTTATAGCAATGTTTACAGTTCATTTGTAGTAAAATGACTGAAAAACAAATTAAGAGGCTTTAAAAGCCTTAGCTGTGTGGACAGTTCATACCTGGGCTAGGTTTCTGTCACTCTGACACAGAGAGTTAATGTAATTCAGATGAAATTTCCCCTCTTTTCCTTATCATAAATAAATTTGGCATTAGTTTATTGGGTGATTGAAGTTGAAGCAGATGGACTATATTGCCAAAATGATCAGGATAAGTAGTTCAACCATTCACTTAACTTGCCTATGAAGACTTCAGCATGCTGTGATCTAATGAATGAAATGAATGCCAACTTGGGAGATTTGTGTTAAAATGTTAAATAAGATTTTACCCACTTAGGGGTGCCTGGGTGGCTCAGTTGCAGTGGCTAACTGCAGCTGAGGTCATGATCCCAGGGTCCTGGTATTGAAGCCCACTTCTCTTCCTCCTTCTGCCCCTCCTGTCTGCTTGTGCTCTCTCTCAAATATTTAGAGAGACAGTACAAGTAGGGAGGAAGAGCAGGAGAGTGGGGAGCCCAATGTGGGGCTTGATCCCAGGAACCTGGGATCATGACTTGAGCTGAAGGCAGCTGTTTAACTGAGCCACACAGGCACCCCCAAAATACGTTAATATTGACTATAACTTTAAAACCAACATTTTTAGAGTGTTTTCCATTTACAAGCATATCTCATTTTATTGTGCTTTGCAAATACTGAGTTGTGTTTTTTTTTTGGTTTTTTTTTTGTTTTGTTTTTTTTTACAAATTGAAGGTTTGTGGCAACCCTGTGTTGAGCAAACAGCATCTTCTTTGTGTCTATGTCACATCTTGGTAATTCTCAATATTTCAAACTCTTTCAACATTGTATTTGCTATGGTGTTCTGTTCTGTGATCAGTGATTGTGACTTGCTGAAAGCTCAGTTGATGGTTTGCATTTTTCAACAATATTTTTAAATTAAGGAACATACATTATGTTTTAGACCTATTCCTGCACACTTAATAGACTACAGTATAGTTTTTATATGCACTGGGAAACCAAAACATTCATGTAACTTGCTTTATTGCAATATTTGCTTTATTGTGGTGGTCTGGAACTGAATGCAGAATATCTCCAAAGTATACCTGTATAGACATATGCTGCTCTCCCAGTGGTTTGCTCTCCCAGTGGTTTGCTCCCACTGGTTTACCTTTTCTTGTTTCTTTAGTGACACAATGCCCCCAAGCTACTGCATGGCTTTGGATTAGAAAAAAAGGCTAAAAAAAAAAAAAAGGATTAAAAATCCGCATAAACATAGCTTCAGTCCTGTCAAGTAGGAAATAGACAAATTCGGTTTGCTGGGACCGTGGCATTGAACTGGGGAGGAAGTCAGACTAAAGACATTGATTTGCCTTAAGATGTATTGGTCTTCCTGGACTTGCTGACCTGAATGCACAACTATGAAAATGTCTGAAACCCAAGGAAATGGGATTGGGGTCACTGTATTGTAGGAAGTGACAGCATGGACAGGTATGCATATTCACCAAACATTTCTGGTTCATCTGGCTTCCTGCAAGGCATTTGATAGGGTAGCACCTCTTGGTTGTGGGATCATGTGATTCTTTCTGGCCAATGGGGTGTGAGCACACAGGTGGCGAGTCTGGGCTATTGACCAGAGATACTCCCTACTTCGCTTTCCTTATAATGACCAGCAGCACATGAGATATGGCTTCTTCATCAGCCTGAATCTACTTACAGTGGACATAGCCCTCTGCTGAACCACGGTGGATACATATTTGTTTTTAGCAGAAAATTGGCTTCTTCCAGCATGAGTATTTTAGGTTTCGTACACCAGACTGTCTCTGCCACAACTATTCAACTCTGCTCTGCTGTGGCGTGAAAGCAGTCTTAAGATATACGTGGATGGGGCTGCAACCCTCCAAAAAGCTTTACAAAAAGGCCACTTGACCCTGGGACCATAGTTTGTAGACCCCCCTTTTGTCACAGACCTTTTAGGATTGTTACTGCAGCGTAACTTAGCCTATTTTGATATACTGGGGCTGTGAGATGGCCCCCCAAGTGAGATCTTTGTCACCTGTGTTGTCATCTTTCCTGCTCCCTCTCTATAATCTTTCCTTTTTCCTGGAAGAAAAGCCTAACTTAGCTGACTGTGGGTTTTTATGCTTCCATACCTGTTACTGTATCATGTACCCATGAAAGGCACAAGAGGCCTCTCTGTCACACAAGCCCTCTTCAGCTCAAACTTGAATCCTTCATTAGCGGTCTCCAAATCATTGGTTTCCATACTTTAGAATCACCAGAAGGGGGTTTAAAAAGCAAAAACAAAAACAGGGTGCTGGGCTCCACCCCTGGAATTTCTGGGGAGAATTTATCTAGTAGAATATTTCATGTCTGATCTTGAAGACATTGGTCAAGTTCTAAGGAATAAAGCGGTGACTTTTTCAAACTTCTGTGTGCACAGAAGATCTTGTTAAAATGCAGATTCACACAGTAGGTCCACGATAAGGCCCAAGGTTTTGATAGTGATAGTGGTCAGGGTGAGCACACTAAGAGATACAAGGGGCTAAAGGATTCTAATCTTCCCTTCTAGCCTCTAGGTGTAGCACAGTACAAGTGTTTCAGTCTTGAATAACCTTAGGTCAACTATGACTTCTCTCACACCTTAAAATTTGTTAGCAAATACTGTTGGTTCTATTACAATATGCAAAGCATCCAGCCACCAGTCACCACCTTCATTGTAACACCCTGACCTTGGCCACCCCCATCTCTGGGCCATATTATTTCAACAGCCTCCTTGTTGGGCTCCCAGCTTCTCCTCTTGCCCCACTCTCCCTCTTAATCCACACACATGGTAAATTCTTTTACACAGCAGTGAGAGGATTTCTTTAAAACCCAGGGTGATCCCTTCACGCCCCTGCTTAAAATTGAAACTATGTATGCGGTGCTACCCATTTCACTTGGCAAAGGACAAAGTCCTTACCATGGCCGGGCAGGCTTCAAAACACTGTACGTCTTTTTTGTCTTTGACCTCATCTCCTACTCTCTGCTTTAGTCACTGTGGCCTGCTTGCTGTTTTTGAACCCACCGAGCACACTCCCATCTCAGATCCTGAAACTTGGGTGTTTCCTCTACCTGGAAAATTCTTCCTCCAAGATAACAGCTTGGCCTCACACCCTTCTTTGCCTCAAGTGCCAGTAAGGCTTTTGCTGACAACCTTGTTTGTTTTTTTCTTCTGTACCATTTCACTATCTGACATTTACTTTTCTTTTCCACACTTAAAACGAAATCCCACAAAGATAATTTTGTTTTGGTCACAATCCCTAGCATTAAAGAGTTCCTAACACATACTAAGGTGCTCAATAAATATTTGAACAAATAGCTAACATACTTTGCCGCTAACTGGAGTATCTTGAGCCTGGAGGCTGCAGTCGTTTTCCTAGCCTCCCTCAGGATACACTGTTGCCAGCCAGAATTACTCATTTTATTCCCTAGAGAATAGTGGGGTTTGCTACAATCCTCTTCAAAACCCTTCTTCAGAGAATTTAAATTATAAATTGGTCATTTGCTGTTGTTACACATTATGTGGCTGAGATCTCTCAAATTATGTTCCTTTAATACATTTTCTTCCAGCACTTGGCTTTATTGTCTGTTCACTGTCCACACCCATCCCGCCCCTAGTTTAATTACAGGACTGGAATAATTCTCTTGAAGAAAAAAAATTTTGTTTTGTATTCATTCAACATTTTCTTATTAAAGAGTATTAGGTAAATCTGAAACAAAAATTAAACAGTCTAATTTGTACTATTCGGGCTTATTGGATAAGTGTCATTTTAAGACAGATTATTTTTAACCCGAATCCATAGTTTTAAGATTTTTAATAAGCCACCCATCTTGCTCATTTCCAGCGCGTTCTACAGAGGACTCCTAGGTTACCTACCCGGTGATTGTTTTGTGGGGAAAGCAGCGAACTGTCTTTTTTTCAAAAGACCTTTTGGGATGTGAGAGTTTGCTTGCTCTACACACAGAAGGAATTCTAGAAGCTGGGATTGCACCACCCACCCCACGCACCCCCTACTTGCAGAAACCTTTCCCCCGCCCTTCCCCCCGCCCCGCCAGGGCTCTTTACAGGGCAGACGCCAGCTCCGATCCAGCTGCTTGACACCTATTGTCCCCGTTTGGATGTCAAGCGACTTTGCCTGAAGGACCCTAGCCTCGATTTCGCTCTAAACTCAATGCGCCGCTCCTGCAGCACCGCCGGGGCCGTCCAGACCTACGCTTAGCGGCCGACCCCCAACGACATAAGCTAGAGCCCCGCGGTAGGAGGCCCGGTGGGCCCTTCCCCGCAGGCGTTCGCGCTGGGCAGCCCGAGCGGCCGCGAAGGCCCCCTCCCGCAGCTTCTCCCGCCCCCTCCGCCCCAGAGGGCCGGCTGGCAAAGTCCCTCCCGCTCTCGGCTCTCCGCCTCACTAGCAGCGGCTCTCGGTGCTGCGGGGATAGGGCGAAGCGGCCTGCGCCCACGGAGCGCACGACACTGCCCGGAACGCACAGCCACCCTAGCCCCCTCAGCCGCCCACTCGGGATCTCCAGCGGCCTCCGCGCGCGCACGGTGAGCGCCACCCAGACCGAGGCGCTGACCGGGAAGAGGGCCGCTGCCCCGAGTGTCCTTTACCTCCGGATCGGCTGGACCTTCTCGAGGGGCTTGCTCCCTAAGTCTCCCCTACCCCCAACCCCCCCACCCCGGTTATTACCAGTGCCCTTCTCCACCCTTCTCCGCCTTTTAGCCCCGACCTCTCCTCCCTCCCTTCCCCGCCAGGTGACGAGTGCCGGCCCTCCCCGGCGGGGACCGTTGCACTGGCCGTTGGCTGCCGGCGCTGCGAGGCCCCGCCCCCGGCGCGAGCCTCTGTACCCCGGGGCGGGTAGGCCGAGCCGGCGGCCCGCGCGGGGGAGGGGCGGGGCGGGAGGCGGCGCGAGGCCGGGCCGGGCGCCCCGCTGGCGGGTCGCGCGCGCGTCCTCGGTCTCTTCCTGCCCTCGCGGCGCGCGCCGGCCCCATCCCCACCCCCACCCGCTCGCGCAGGCTCCCGCCGGCTGCGCGTTTTGTCCCGCGTCTCTCCCCGTCCGCCGCCTGACTCGCCGCTCTTGTCCTCCTTCCTCCCGCTTTTTCTTCTCTCCTCTCACGGTCTAAAGATGCCCTCGGCCACCAGCCACAGCGGAAGCGGCAGCAAGTCGTCCGGACCGCCACCCCCGTCGGGTTCCTCTGGGAGTGAGGCGGGGGCCGGGGCAGCTGCGCCGGCTTCCCAGCACCCCGCAACCGGCACCGGTGCTGTCCAGACCGAGGCCATGAAGCAGATCCTCGGGGTGATCGACAAGAAACTTCGGAACCTGGAGAAGAAAAAGGTGCCAGGAGTTGGGGGACGGGAGGGTTGGATGCCCCGACCCTGACTGCCGGGGCCTGCCTTCTGCCCTCCCTAGCACATCCCCTCCACTCACCCCCACCCCCCACGCCCGGCCTGCTCAGTCAACGGAGCTTGGAGCCCGGAAAACGGGCTCCTAGGGGAGGTGCTTGTCACCTGACCCGGACGCGGCGCCCCCCCCCCCCCCGCCCCCGCCGCCCGGGCCGCTTTATTACTCTCCTCCGGCGGCGGGCCAGGCTTTTTGGCCTTTGGGAGTGGGATGCGTGAGGGCGGGGGGCTGTCCTGTCGCCAGGCTGAACTGAGTGATGCCCCTCTCTTTCATCGAGGCCCGATTTCTTTGACAGAGGGCCAGCGGGGAGAAATGAAGGGGTCCCGGTGAGGGGACTGAGGGCCCAACCGACCGCCTCGTGGAGTTGGGGCGGCCTACGTTGTGTCGCGGTGGGGCTGGTCCGCTCCGTTACCGTATACCCGAGGCCTGTTCAGTGTCTCTTCTCCTCTCGGGAGGGGGAAGTGTGTTTAGGACCTTCATCTAGAATTGGTTCTCTGTCAGGCCCCTTTAGAGTGGGGCTTCGATTTGCTGCCCACCCCCCGCCCCCGTCTGATGGGCGCCCCCACGTTTCCTTCTTTGTTTCAATTGTCTAGGTGCCCCCTGAGCCTCACGCTCAACTTGACCCCGGGAAGATTTTCTGCAGCGGCTCTTTACCCCACCGGGACTGTAAAGAGGGATGGGAGGGAGACTGCCACGATTGAGATTCGTTGAGGGGCGTGGGTCCGGGTTAGACCGAGGGGATCGCCAGGTCTCTGGGCACATGGAGAGAGCGTCTAACATGGCGGCGGCTGCGAGGAGAGGGAAGCGCTTTACAGGAGCTGCATTGTGAGCACAAAGCGAAAGCAGAGGGGGAGGGCAGAGACCAGGCAGCCGCCCCGGCTGGCCTTCGTCGTCCCCCCCCCTCCAAAAAACAGTCGAGCCACACCCACAATTTTTTGGGTTCAAGTTGGCATTCTAGGTTGATCTTCAAGTAGGTCTTTTGTTTTATGCTCTCAGTGCAGCACAGTGTACCAACTCTGTTGAGAGCGACACGTGTGTGTGTGTGTGGGTGTGTATGTGTGTGTGTGGGTGTGTATGTATATAGAGAAAGGGTCTCGGTAGAGTGAATAATTCAACCTTCAGTAAGACGAGGTGGAAAGGAAGAAGCAAATGAGTAGAACAAAAAACAGGGTAATTACATCTGTGACTGTTCTGCAAACTTTTTGCCTTTTACCTTAAAAATAAGAACTTTGCTTGGATAACTTCCGCTTGTTTGCTTCTAGTAAAACATATTTATTATAACATTTTGAATTTTGACGAAGTCATTTAAAAATGTTTATTTAGCCACCTACCTAAGAGTGTTACTTAAGATGCTGAGACTTATTTAGCTAAAATTTGGGCCATAACAAATAACTTGAAGAAAATGGTGTAAGCCATAATTATTTTAATTGCTTGTTCTAGGACTTATTTTCTATCTCTTGGGAGTTTTTAAACATTTTTAGATTTGATACTAATCTGTCTCATTTTTCTTACTGGGAATTTTACTTGAATTTCTTAGATTTTATTTGAAATCAAGAGATGCACTGCTTGTAAATGCCTACCTTATTGGTGATATTTTATTTTGATAAACAGTGTGGTTTATTATAAATGAAAGATACTAGACTTATCAATAGCAATAAAACAAAAAGTATTTTACTTGTAAAGTAGCTACATTTAAATATGTAATGGAATTAGCCTGCCCAAGGCTAGTATCTTCTGAGTATGCCCTCTGATTTAGTTTTTGCTACTCTATTTGAACTTGAGACTTAGGTATCTTTTTAAAACATCTTACTGCAATAAACAATCCTGTCAATTTGGTTGATACCTGAGTGGCTTAATTTCCAAAATTCTTAGGAAATGCCTGTTTTCTTTTAGGATAGGAATCAAAAGGTAAATAGTAATGATGTAATACTGTAAATATAGACATTTGAATATAGATACATGTATTTTAATGACTCAAAAATAATTTTTCAAAGTTCTTAGTGTAAAGTCAGGCACTGGATTAACAGCCAGTTTAGTTGTGAGGTGACTGAGTCTAGTGCTCCAGATGCCTATGGGAGTTCAGTTTATAAGCTCTATGAGGACCTGACAGTGAAAGGTCACTCATGTGTGTGGATTTATATTACATATATATATATATCGCCTAACACCCGCCCCCCAGCCCCCCTTTATACAGGGGAAAGTAATGCAACTATTATTACAGAGATAATAGACTAGGCTAGTAAGTACTGGAAAAATTCCTTGTATGGGGGGGGAGGGGAGAGGACTACACAAAGTAACAAAAAGTATTTCATGTCTCCCCCCCCCCCCATCTTCTCAGTGTTTTGGATCAAATTACAGTTACCTGAGGTTTTCTTAATAACTCACAGAATGAGCTACCTACTTGTTAAATAGTTAAGTCTTGGCAGTACTGATGTGACTTAATTACTATCGAAATTAAGTTTTACTTTTAGAGAAACTCAAGGCATTTGGATTTTTCTCTAAACATTCAGTTTCTAATTTAAATTGTATTCTATATCTAGAGGATTTACTGTATGAAAGGATTTAACTGTGATTTCTCGGTAGTGAGTGAGCATTTCTAAAACACCTAAAATAGGATTTACTTTACAAATCAGTTTTGAACCTTTGTGGAAATCCTTGTGCAGTAAAGTAAGATGATATATATACCTGGATTTCCTTTTATTTCAGTCCACATAGCAACTTATATTTGAGCTGTATTTCAGACTTGACTTATTCATAAGTCTTCTGGACAGAATCTCTTTTTTTAATGGATTCTAAAATCAAGTATCCTGACCAAAATTAATACCAGATATGTAGTGTTACTTACTTTAAGAGTTGGAGAATTGCAATAATATTGTATTTCATATAAAATATAGAGTTATTCATTAATTTTCTAGTAAGTTGAGCCATGAGAGGAAAGCTAAGCATCTGTTCAGTGAGAATGCATGCTTAACATTAATGAAATATGATCCTTTTATGTAATGCAACTAAATGGCCTGGTAGTTTTTGAAATTTGGGCTTATAGAGACTATGTGTGTATTTAGCAAAGAGAAGAAATGGAGCTGTAATCAAAAGAATGAAGTGCAAAACTTCATTTACAGATCTTTGAACTTTTATAAGTAATAATCAATTGACTGATTGCCTAGTCAGTTTGTTGGTATAGAATTGGGTTCTAGGCTATGCAAGATGGTACTTTGAAACCAAGCCTTAATTTTAATTGAACAGAGAGCTCATTTATATGGTAAGATGCAATCAGTTTAATGTAGAATAAAGGATGTGTTGATAGATGACATTTTAAAATTTTATGCTTTTTGGAAATATAAAAGGTTTAGACACTAGTGATTTTAGTAGGTGAGAGATTAACCAAGTGTTCTATTGCAAGACAGCTTGACACCTTTTAACCAATATGTGACCATAAGTGATAGCCAAAGTGTACTTACTGTTTTACATACTACTCCCTAAAGTCCTTTTGCTCTTTATATCTTTTCAGTAAATATACTGAAAAAGGATGCTGTCATTGTTAGAGAAAACATTTCTTTGCAGAGCACTGCAGTGTGCCTCTACTTAGAATATTCAGTGCAGCTGTTGTACAGAATTTCTGTTAAGTATTTTGAAATAAAAATATTCTTAACTATTTTGTAAGTAAAATCTTTCTTGGGGCTAACATCTAAAGTTTTTCTTGACAGAGTTAAAAATCTCTGATGTATTCGCTTCTCCCATTGGTTGCATGAAGTAATTCTCTGCAATGCAGAGGGCAAGATTACTTTGTTTTGCATTCACCTTGTTAACAGGGGAAAAAAAAGCATTTGTAATCCTTTATTTGTTTCTCTCTGCCTTCCTGGGTGTGTGTGTGTGTGTGTGTGTGTGTGTGTGTGTGTGTGTGTGTGTAAGAGAGAGGGAGAGAGAGAAGTATTAAAAATTTGAATTTAAAAAGGAAAAGATGTTAATTTCCTCATGTGATAATACAGGTATCTTTTTCTTGCATGAGTAGAATTCCAAGTATTGTAATGAGGATGAATTGGTTTAACCTGAGCATGTTATTTTACTCTAGGTAATTCCCATGTGGCAAATATTTCTGTCCAAATACATTTTGTGTGACTTAGAGATTAAACATACAATTTGTCATTTTATGTATTTAATATTTAGTTTACGTTTAGGAAGATTAGTACGGTTTCATCTTTAAAAATTACTTTCAGATATTAAAATTATAACAACTTGGTGTTAATTTTATTACTATATTGTTGATGGAATCTAAGATATAACTCCTTAAAGTAATTTTAGGATTTGGTCGAATTCATTTTACGGAAATGTAAATTGAGAAGCTCAGGTAAAATGACCCAGTTTGGAATGAGTGAATTCCAAGGTCTCTTGTATTATGAGGGTAATTAGAATTTGTAATGCTCTGCAACATAAGTAATTTTTCATATTTAAGCTGATCCTTTAGAACCAAGTGAGGCTTTTTACATTAAATCTTAGAGTTCCTCTGTTTTAAAAAGCTGTGAAAGCAAAAGGACAAAGCTTTTTTATATCTTCATTGTTAAACCTTTATTAATACCTTGTTAAATTTGTGTTTGTAGGCTGTTCAGATAAATGGTATAGGTAAAGTCCCATTGTATCAGGTATCATTGGAACATCTGTATTGTTGTAATGGAATGAATTTTTAAAGTCTAAATTCTGAAGTGTCTATGCATAGTTAAGCCCAGAACCCGCATTTGCCCCTCTGGACTCAGGCTTGATATGATTGTAGACCAGATAATTTGGGGAAAGCATTACCAGTGGAAGGAAGTAGGAGGTGTGTCATCCTTTCCATCTTAATTCTTATATTTCAAGCTTCTGCGTATCTTTTAGTAATAGGTCCCTTTTTCTGGGGGCAATGAATTGTATGTAGCACTAGAGAAGGATGAGAGGAGTAGCAG